AGGACCTTGTCCAGGCGGGGCTGGAATATCTCCAGAGAAGGAGACTCCACAACCTCCCTGGGCAGCCTGTTCCAGTGCTCCATCACCCTCAGAGGGAAGAAGTTCTTCCTCATGTTCAGACGGAAAACACAGCCAGCCCCAGCGTGTAACACTGTGCTCTTGAGCAACTCGACCAATTCCTACCAGCCCAAAGCGAAAGCGCGCGGCGCAGTACAGCTCTGCAGAACACGTGACCTCTAAAGAATTTCGTATTCAGCAAGGACGCAGCCGTAACATCTCCAGGCTTCCTGGCTGTTTCCACATCCAGGCTTGAGGATCCTGCAGAAGAGCCTCCTTGCACACAACAGCAGTTCCAAACAGCAGCTTATTGAAAACTCTAATCCTTGAGAGCACATCCGTGGCAATATTAACTCCTTGTAGAACCAAAGCGCTCCGTTACTTCATTCACAACTACCATTCGCAGTAATCCTGCACAGCAGTGGGTAACGCCTGCCCCACGTTTTAGCGAGCAGCCTCAGCACTGGAGCTGGAAGTCGGAGGATGAATGCAGCCGTCAGTTTTGCAAACGCCCTCCATTAGTGAGATTCTTCCATAAATAATAAAAAAAAGCTTCCTAAGGTGCCGAAGATCCCTTATCAAGCTGCAGTAACCACGCAGCCTTCACAATGCACCCGAAATCAGCTGCAGAGGTTTGTGTGACATTTGAAAGCCCCTCGCCTCTCCCACACGAAGACATCCATTACTCAGCTTCCTGCAGGCTACTCAATTTTTTTAAACAAAGCAACTGCGGAATCTAAAGGCCTTGGTTTCAAGTTTATATTCAGCTCGCCACAGAGCCTCTTCCTGTGCTGCCTTACTTCCCCCCGCACTTCTGCAGCCACGAGAATCCATACTTTTCCATAAACACTACAGTTTCCCACTTCTCGCCCTAGGAAATTACAGGCCAAATATCATTTTTTTTTGCTCTGCAGGAACCTTTCACCAGCCTCCGTGCTTCAAGGCGCAGCGGCTGACAGCACCCACCGGGTGATGCTCGGTTCTGCAGGGCCATCTTCAGGCTTTCCAGGAATACCAGGTGGCTGGGAAACCCAAACCTTTCTTCCAGCTGGGGACAGCGTAACAAGAGCGAGAGCGAAGGGCTGTGCCGCGCTCTAACATCTGAGCACTCCTGCAGAACCAGCTCCTGGGGATCCAGGCACGGAGTGTTTCCGCATCCCAGGATCCCAGAATGGTCGGGGTTGGAAGGGCCCTCTGGGGGTCACCCAGCCCAACCCCCTGCCCAAGCAGGGGCACCCAGAGCAGGGGGCACAGCACCGCGGCCAGGCGGGGCTGGAATATCTCCAGAGAAGGAGACTCCACA